ACTTAACATTTTAAAGACTTCACCCCTATTTGGTAGATATTAAAATAAGATGTTTAGTAGAATTTGAAAAAAAAGATAATGGAATGTATTGTTTGAAAAGTTATGGTAGTTTAAAAATTGTGATTAAAATTAATTGTTGATTTTGACTTACATTTTAATAAGATTTTTTAGCGATACCAAACAGGGACTTCATTTTATATTACTTTTTTTTGCTAATATTTGACTCTGGTCTTGACTATACATTGAGTATGCAGTTTGTTTGCCATCCTGTCACTAATTAAAAAAAAAAAAATGGTTGTCTTTTTTTATTTTTGAATTTATTTGATTTAATTTCACATAATAGTAATAAAAGTCAGAAATTCACAAAATTTTAACCCGATTTTATTCAATTTTATGATACAATTTTTTTATTTTTTATACAAATGATGTTGCCACTTGCTCAATCAATTGTATTTTTTATTTCATACTTAACATTTTAAAGACTTCACCCCTATTTGGTAGATATTAAAATAAGATGTTTAGCAGAATTTGAAAAAAAAAAAGATAATGGAATGTATTGTTTGAAAAGTTATGGTAGTTTAAAAATTGTGATTAAAATTAATTGTTGATTTTGACGTACATTTTAATAAGATTTTTTAGCGATACCAAACAGGGACTTCATTTTATATTACTTTTTTTTGCTAATATTTGACTCTGGTCTTGACTATACATTGAGTATGCAGTTTGTTTGCCATCCTGTCACTAATTTTTTTTCTAATTACTATTGATATTAGATTTTACTGCGTACCTTCCCTTGCATATATATTGTATCTACCTCTGCCTACAGTTATGTTATATAGTTTGATCCACATTGTTCACACATTCAATTATTACTTTGACATGAATTGTTGTCATTTGCAATAAGTTCTTCTTCAAGTACACTTTGATCCATTTGTTGAACGTGCAACATATTGGGTAATTCATGCATTGGGTAGTCTCTCTAATTTTTAGATGTGATCGAATGAGGTTCAGCTTTCTATTTATTGATAATGAAAAATACAAAGAACGGTAATGACGAGATTTCGAGTTTCATCTTCCATTTTCTCCCTACTTGATCAATGGGAAATGTTGTATTTACCCTAAGGAGGATAAAATACAAGGAAAAGAACATTAATAAAGGGCCATAATAATTGTAGGTGTCCTGCCGTCCCAGTGTCCATTATGTCCAGGCCCAAAATTTCTCATGTCAGGTCACATTTTGTAGACGTTGCAAACAAGCCTTTACATAAACGGGATGCATTCTGGATGAAGAGTGTATTGTGACCATTATCCTATTGCCCATTGTTGTACATTGTACTACTACTAGAATCGGGGCAGGCCCTAATATTTAGAGGCCTAGGCAACAAATTGTTATAAAGCCCTTAAATATAATTGTTTTTTTAGTAAGCATAGAAATATCTTTAATATCGGTTATGGTCGATTTAAATTCAATTTCTCTATAGCTTTTGAAAAATGAAATGAGCACTTTTAAAATAAATAATTTTTTTTAAAATTAATTTATAAATTTTAATTTTTTTTTATAAATTTAGGAAAAAATTATAGGGGAAATTTCTTTAATTTTTTTTATGCAATGATTCTTTTTTTTTCTGGTAGATCTTGGTAGAAAAAAAAAATACAACAAAATATATCGCTAGGTTATAGTTTAATTATAGATCTATTTTATTTCTTAAACAATAATGTAAATTAAATACCCCAGTAATTTGGACTTCTTATTTAAACAAATTTTGTTGTTGATTTTTAAATGGCTAGAGACCTAACCCAGAAAAACAAGGAAATATTTTGTTGTATTTCAGAGTTTTAATTTTTCTTTTGAGGCCTTTTCTAGCTGACGGCCCTAGGCAATGGCCTTGGTCACCTTTGGCTAGGGCTGGCCCTAACTAGAATAGTCATATTTGTATTACTCTAAAGGTTCGTTTGATTGTAAAGATAGAATTTGGGTGGAAAGAAAATAAATTTCAGGAAATTGAATTGTCTAAAAATTGTTTTCATGGAAATTGTAAATTATTGTGTTTGATTAGTATAATTTTTCACATGAAAAATGTTGAAATAAAAGTGTTTTTCGTGTTCGTTTTGCTTTTTTTACATGAAATTTGTCAATTAAATAGATAGAATTTACTGGTATTAGGGATAAAATTTGTTTCTATTGCCAAAAAAATACAAATTCATCTATCTTTTGTGTTCGTTTGGCTTTAATTTACATGAAAATTGTCAATTAAAGAGAAATATTTTTTTACAATAATTCTTAGAATTTGTTTCCATTAAAAAAAAAAGGTCAACAATAACCAGGAAAATCAATTTCCGCCATATTGATTTTCCCACAAAAGCAAGAAAATTACAACTCTCAAGAAATTCAAGAATTTAATTTCCATGGAAAATAAAACATTTTCAAACACATAAAAGTTGGAAATTGACATTCTAATTCCATTTTCCCCAGAAAAATTGTGCCTATCAAACAAACGGTAAAGGTTTTGAAATTCCTACCTGCAATAGATTTATATGAGACTAATATAGGAAAAATTAGGCATAATACTCTAAAAAGTTAACTAATTTGATTATTACCATATTAACTAATTAAATCATATAATTAATCAGGGTGGATCCTACTACGAGGCAAATGAGGCTGAGGCCTCAGGCCAAAAATCTAAGGGGGCCTATTTTTGGTCCAAAGTTTTTTTTTTTTTTTTTATGGTTTGTAAATATAGAGGATCCAATCCCTCGCCCTCCGCCTCCAATCTTCCCACCAAAACCGTCGGGATGTTGCAGAGATGTTGCAGACAATTCACAGTTGCAGACCAGAATAGCCGAACAGCTAGGAGAAACGAAGAAGAAGACTGTTGCCAGCTTTTATTTTTATTTTCTTTGGGCTCTCTTGACAGAGATTGGGCCTATTTAAAAAAAAAAAATCGGCCCGAGTGAGGAAATTGAATCCATTCAAATGGTCCAGTCTATTGGTGTTAATCTGGTGTTCCCCCAAACCCAAATCAGTCACAAACTCCTTGAAAGGGCAACAACAGCGTGCGAACAGAAAACCCTTGGTCCCTTACCCTTCAATTCAATTTCCATATTCCACTTGAAGCAGAAGTAGCAGTTGGTAGTGGTAGTCAAGTGGGTCGAGTAGGGCTATTTTATTGAAATTTGTCGTTTATTTTAATGGGGATAAGATGGAGTTTCATCTAATTTTTTCTATTGTCTACTTTTTCCATTGTTGTAGAAATTCAAATTATTATCACTCTTTTACGGTTTTACCTTTGTGCACTTACTCATTTGTATATCTGATCTGTACGAGTAGACGAGGTCTGTGATGCTGTAGAACTGTAGAAGTTGCTGGAAAGAATGTTATGTCAACTACTTTAGTTGTGATAACAGAGCTCGTTTCTTGGAGGTAATTTATTTTACTACTTGCAAAAGATGTTCTAGTTCTCTGACCAATCATCGTCTTCAGTTGTCCATCCTTTCCCGTTTTATAAATTCCTAATCGCAAAGTTTGTGATATACTACTAGGGCTGCTATCTAACCTTCGGTATTATGTTAGTAATATAGTCAGGGTAAATAAACACAGTTGCTTTCTCAACTTATAGCAACATTTTGTGTTATTCAACGAACTTTATGTTGTTATAATTTGGAGTTCACTTCTTGTTCCAGCTTCTAGAGGAATGTTAGATATTGATGCAATGTTTAATCCATGTTTGTCAAAATAACTAATGGAGTTACACTTCTTGAGTAAATTGAAACATAAAAAGACAAACTTCCTACTTCAAAATAATCTATACTACCATAAAAGAGAGAATGATGGTTTACTGTTCATTTTTGTCACACTTGTTTTCACACTTAACTGGTTTGGCTTGTCCACTATAATATTTCTCCCTTACTTTGAATCTGACACACCATGCTCTTTTTCCTAATTCTCACGCTATTAACTATCAACCATATCTTATATATTTAAATTTTGAAAATTATATTAATAAACAAAATTACTGTAAATAAAATGTAAAGTAAAACATATTCGCTTCATGTATGGAGAAAAAAATTACGTCATACCACATAATTTTTCTTGAGCAAAATGATGTATTGAGAAAATTGTTGCGAAAAAATAATAAATAGTAATAAAATAATTAATTTTTTGAAGAAAAACGATTTATACGCATTTTTTAACACTTACGTTTAATGCCTGTTTAACTATTTTCGATATTAATTTACATCATTCGATGTGTCTATGAAATATTTCCCAAAATGAGCTTCGAGAGAATGTAAAATATTTATCGATTCGACTATCGTATAATGGTCGATAAACTTTTAGAGTTAGCTTGTTATCGAAAATTTCAAAATATAGTTTGAAAATTACATCGCAATTAGGTTTAACTAGTAAAGACTAAAACCCTAAGTAAAATGAACTTGAGCCAACACAAGCCCAATTACATAAATAAAATTTAAAACATAAATAAAGTCCAACTAAAAATAAATAAAAAGTAGATGTCCTCATCACATTTTCCCTGAATAAATATTTATGATATCTGAAATCAAAATTGGTTTGACTGAAGATTACTGTGTTATACCCGACCTTAACGAGTTCAGTGATAGATTCTTTGGCATCGATAATGAATGAAATTTAATTAACTATAAATATGCTGCATTTCATTTTTTGAAACAAATCTGACTATACAGGATCAAAGAATATGTTTTTTTGAGTAGGTAATAATTTTTTTATGAGTTTTTTGTTTTTTAGTTTTCTCCTATTTTGTTCCATCATGCACATGCATTTCCGTTATGTAATTGGAGGCTACAATGTGTTACTTTTTGAGTTAATTTTGCAATTACTTTATACCCTCTTTATCTGTTTTATCACTTTATATTGATACTTATCATATTTAGTAATTAATTATGGTTGATGGTTGGTGGATGTCATGCAGTGAAAAATTAATTTTATAAATCGCTATCTTGTTATTTCTTTATAGATGGATGTCTTATTTCCAATTTGCCTGCTGAATCATGTAGACCCCTCATGTTGGCCCAAAGGTAAAACCCTAACCTTCTAATTCTTCAAATCTCCAATTCTCAATGTTCATTATCTGGTTTTCAACTATTCATAAGCGAATGTTCTTTTGCCCGATGAATCGTAAGTATCAAAATGGTCAAAGGTTGAACCGAGCTACGGAAAAAAGGTTACTGAAAGCAACAGGCAGAGATAAGAACATTAATTTTATAAAGGGAGTAAAGACTGGCATGAAAAAGACTCTGATTTTCCACATTGGTCCTTGCTACAAATAAGTCACCGGATGGCACTCATCGTGGTCAGGTTGGGACTTCTCTTAGTGCATTTCTTTTCTGTTTGACATTTTCATGTTATCTTGGTTTGTGGTTGTTAAGATTCTTAGCTTGTAGAATGTTTGATTGATATGTTAATTTTCGCATCAAATAGTAAGCTTGTAGAATATTTGATTTATATGTTAATTTTCGCATCAAATGGTAGTACGAATTCTAGCTTGCCTTTAGTTAATTGAATGTGTTCATTTATTTAAATTTGTCATTCCACTAATGGGATATCAGTATTTAATTAAATTATGTATCTATGGTATGTTTTTTGTTTTATCTTCTTGCTGTAATTGTTTATGTATGCTTTTACCAGGGTTCCTTTGTACTCTGCGGCCTTTTTAAAAAGACTGATATCAAACAAGAAGAAAACGCTGGAATTTCCAACGTTAATGAAGTTGAAGAGATTATATCATCTCCTACTCCTAAGATAGCCAAACCTCCTGCTGAAGATGGATAATTGGACTCAATTATTAAAATGATTTAGCTATGGTTCTAACATCAATTAAAGGTTAAACGATACACCCTTTTTTTCCTTCAGCCTCACCTAGAGCTGGAAAAAGCACTAGGTAGTTTGTGCTCTCCAATGCTAGTCATTGGATTAAAAAAAAAAATTCCCCTTTGCATTCACAGATAGAAACTAACTTTAGAACCTTCATCAATAACATCAATTGCAATGATAGAGCTTACCCATTTCAATATGGAACAAATGTTGTTGATGTTAATGATTTCTTCAACTCGATATTTCTCAATTCAGACGAGCATCCCTATGAGGTTTCGGGCATATATGCAATTGTTGGGCTGTGATGCCATTTGATCCAGTCCAACAGTTAGGTAATGATGAAAAGGCCCAAAATATGGATTCAATACTTGGTCCATTAATTAGTTACCTAGAAGGCCCACTTAACCGAGCCCAATACCCAGCCCACACATCTTAGTCGCTCTTGGATCGTTGGATTGACCCGCTGATCAACGATTGATGATATTACCTATAAATATCATCCTTAGCCCCTATTTGGCACTTGGATCGTCATTTCTGTTCTTTGTTTTTCTCTCTGCCTTCTGGAACCTTCGTGTTCTTCGTCTTTGTGACTCTTCCTTCTTCTCTTTGTGAGATTTCTGGTTGATTATCTTTGTGATAATTGTGTTCTTGTGTGATTCAACTTTGTGTGAGTGATCGTTTGAAGGTAGGCAGTCCTTGTTTTGGTTTCCAGTGAAGCGACCTTGATGTGTTGGGTTGTGAGGGCTTGTGTTTGAGTCTCGGTGCCTCTGTGATGGTGAAAGGGGCGTGGTCTGAGCCTACAATTGAAAGATCTAAACCTTGATGTTGTGGTTTAGGGTTTATGATGTAATCTGCAGTTTCATGTTATCTTGAATGTTTTTCGGATCCTGTTTTTAATAGTGGTATCAGAGCTGTTGGCGTTCGTTCTTGAGTCTTCGATTGAATGTTGAACACTGGAAAATTAATTTCCAGGTGTTCGACCGTAGATCGCGAAACCCTAGTTTTGATTTTGTGTCGACCTAGTGGTGTGTAGTGTTGATTCGAATCTAGACTGTGGAATGCGAGGGATTTTCTGTGAATCCTCGATGTGATTTGTAAAAGAACCATAAGACCGAGATCATGTGGGTTCTTTTTGTGCTGGAACCCTAATTGTTTGGAGCTGCAAGGCCTCGAAACTGGAAGAACTTGAATCTGTAAGGGCACATTTTGTGCCTTGGTGACCTGCAGTGAATTCATCCTTGCTGCAATAACTTGTTCCTGATTTCAGCTGGTGGTTAAATTGCTTAACCACCCTCGGTTTGCACTTCTTGAGTCCTATATGACTGCACACTCACTAAACACTGCTTTTATGTATATATGCCTCTATATTGATATGTTCAATTACTGCATATTGTAACCTGTTACATTAGTTTGTGATATCTTGTTATATTTGCCTGTGATCAATTAAGTTTGGGTGATTCAAATTGAGCCTTGACCTGAGAACTTGATTCTTACTGAATCCTGGTGAATTTGATCAACCCTAGGTCCTGCATATATTGATTCATTAATCCTGAGATATAGTTTTTGCCTGCATTGTTGTATTTTTCTGGTTCTTGTGGTGTTTACACTAGAATATCTAATGATCCTGCTATTGATTGAAACTATTTGTGAATAAAATAATTGTGGCTCATTTATTTGACTGCATATTACTTTATGTGATCTAAAACATAAATTTTTTGCGAAGGTCAATTTCAACAGTTTTTCAAAAGTTGATTTTCTGTTCTGTTATAATTTGTGAAAAATACTGTGTGTTAGTTTTCACAATAAAACATGACAAATCTTTTGAACTTGGTGTTTTTGATGGAAAGGGGGATTTTCCCATTTGGCAACAAAAAATGCGAGGTGTTTTAGTTCAGCAAAAAGTTTCTAAAGCAATAATAAATGAATTTCCTGATACCATGACAGTTGATCAAAAGGAAGAATCTGATGAACTTGCTTATACCTCCATTATTTTGCATTTATCTGATCAAGTTTTAAGAAAAGTAGGCAAACATGATACTGCTAAGGCCTTATGGGATGAATTAGAGAAGCTTTACCTACCTAAGTCTTTGCCTAATAAGTTGTTTCTATTAGAGAAATTTTTTAGTTTTAGGATAGATCCAACTAGAGACTTAGAAGACAGCTTAGACATTTTTAATAAGTTAGTTCAAGACATTATTAATACAGGTGAGAAAGTTTCTGATGAGTATAAGGTTGTAGTACTACTTAATGCTATACCTAAAGCCTACAAAGAGGTTAAAGCCGCCATTAAGTATGGTAGAGATACTCTTACACTTGATATTGTCATAGACTCTTTAAGGAGTAAGGAACTTGAACTTAAGTCTGAGAGAGGTAATAGTGGCCATGAGAACTTGTTTGCTAGAGGGAGGACTTTAAGTAGGTCTAGTGGCACTCAGGAAAGCCATAATAATCAGGGAAATAACAGTAGGAGAAAGTTTAAAAGTAGAGGCAGGTCTAAGTCAAGGACTAGGACTAAAAAGTATTATGGATGTGGGAAATCTGGACATTTTATTAAAGACTGCTATAAGAAGAAAAATGAACAGAAACAAAAGGGTGTTGATGAAGGTAATGTGGTAGAATCTGAAGGTTCTGCCACAGTTGATGTATATGCTGTAACTGAAAATTTACCTAGCTCTGCAAATGTTGTTGATGAGAATCAGAACCAAGAATGGATCTTGGATTCTGGTTGTACCTTCCATATGACCTATAAAAGAGCATATTTAGACAATTTTAAGAAAATTGATGGAGGAGAAGTAGTTATGGGCAATAATGTAGCCTGCAGAGTTGAGGGAGTTGGGAATGTCACTTTGAAATTTGATAATGGATACATTTACACTCTTGAAAGAGTGAGATATGTTCCTGAATTACCTTTGATAAATTTAGAACTTGGAAGATTCTGGTGGAAAATGAGATTGGGAAGAAAATTAAGATCCTTAGGACTGATAATGGCCTTGAGTTTTGCAATGCTGAATTTGATCAGTTGTGCAAAGAATCTGGTATTAAAAGGCATAAAACTGTACCTTATACTCCTCAGCAGAATGGAGTGGCTGAGAGGATGAATAGAACCTTGCTAGATAAGGTTAGGTGCATGTTGATAGGTTCAGGTGTCCCTAAGGTGTTATGGGGTGAAGCTGTAATGACAGCTTCATATATTGTTAATAGGACCCCCTCAAGTGCTCTAGGAGATAAAACCCTTGAAGAGTTATGGACAGGACATGTTCCTGACTATTCACATTTAAGAATTTTTGGTTGTGCTGCCTATTCCCATCAAAGTATAGGAAAACTTGAACCTAGAGCCCAGAAATGTGTTTTCTTGGGATATCCCGATGGGGTTAAAGGTTATAGGCTATGGAGTAAAGAAGTAAAAGGTTTTAGAATCATCACCAGCAGAGATGTTACCTTTGCTGAGTCAAAGATGCCTTGTTTAGATAATAAAGAACCAAAAGGGCTACCTGGTGATGAAAGAGGTGATGATACCAAGCTGCAGATGGAGCTTGGCTTCCCTACTGAACCTGTTAGTGATGAACAGGTAGATGAAGAAGCTGAAACAGCTTCTGATCCTCAAGAAAATGAAGAGGAAAATGTTCAAGAAAATCTGGAAAGTCAGCCTGATGAATTGGGAGATTACGAATTAACTAGAGATAGGACTAGGAGAGAAGTAAGAGAACCTGTTAGGTATGGAGATTACCTTTCACTTGCTGTCTTATCCTATCATGACTTAGTGTTTAAAGAACCAAAATCTTATGAAGAGGCAATGAGCTGCAAGCAGTCTGAGAACTGGCATGCTGCTATGATAGATGAAATGGACTCCTTAATGAAAAATGAGACTTGGATTTTAGTTCCAAAACCTGCAGGTAAGACCCTTGTTGATTGCAAGTGGATCTTTAGTGTTAAGGAGGGAAATACTGAAAAGGTGCCCATAAGATTTAAGGCTAGACTTGTAGCGAAAGGATTTACGCAAAAAGAGGGCATATATTATAATGAGATATTTTCACCTGTCATAAAGTACACAACAATTAGAGTTATGCTTGCCCTTGTTGCTCATTATGATCTTGAACTTGAAGATGTGAAAACTGCTTTTTTACATGGTGACCTTGATGAAGTGATTTATATGAGACAGCCACCTGGTTTTATTGATGAAACTAAATCTGATCATGTGTGTCTATTAAAAAGATCATTATATGGTTTAAAGCAATCTCCACGACAATGGTACAAAAGGTTTGATAATTTTGTATCTACTATTGGTTTCATAAGAAGTGAATATGACCATTGTCTTTACTTTAAAAGAAATGATGAAAATGCTATTGTTGCATTTATACTTCTTTATGTGGATGATATGTTGCTGATTGGTCAGAATATGCATGTTATTAATCAGATAAAACAGTCTTTAAGTGCTGAATTTGAAATGAAAGACCTAGGACATGCAAAGAGAATCTTAGGTATGGAAATCACTAGGAAAAGGCACAGTAGGGTACTGTACTTGAAGCAAACTGCGTATATTGAAAAGATGTTTGACTAAGTTTGCCATGCATAACTCTAAATCTGTTTCACTTCCATTGGCCAGCCATTTTAAACTTAGTAAAGAGCAATGTCTTGTAAATGAATCTGACATTAGGCAAATGGAAAATGTACCTTATGCTAATGCCGTAGGTTTTGTCATGTTCACTATGGTATGTACTAGGCCTGATGTAGCTCATTCCATTAGCTCACTTAGTAGATTTATGGCCAATCCAGGACCAGACCATTGGGTTGCTCTAAAATGGCTGTTGAGGTACTTGAAAGGATCTTCACATGTTGGTTTAATCTTTAGTGCTTGTAATGAAGGTGTTGTACTTAAGGGTTTTGTAGATTCAGATTTTGTCGGAAATAGAGACAATAGGAAATCTGCTACTTCTTATATGTTTACTTTGTGTAATACATGTATTAGTTGGAAATCTCAACTTCAATCTATTGTTGCTTTATCTACTACTGAAGTTGAGTATGTTGCTGCAATTGAAGCAATAAAAGAAGCATTATAACTCAAGGGCTTATTATCTGAAATAAATGAATTGAGTAACCCTGTTATCTTGTATTCTGATAGTCAAAGTGCAATTCACCTATGTACAAACCCTGTTTTTCATGAAAGAACAAAACATATTGATGTTAAGTTACATTTTATTAGAGATGTTGTTTCTAAAGAACTTATATTACTTGAGAAAATTGCAACTCAGTATAATCCAGCTGATGTAGGTACTAAGGTAATACCTTTAAACAAATTTAAGTCTTGCTTACAAATTTTGAACATTGATGCTGGTTAAGTGTTTTGTTCTATACAAGTGCTAAGGTTGATACTTGTTGAGAATGTTGGGAAGTTGTCTTCTTGAGAAGAACATTTAAATTGTGTTTTACATTTATTAGGCTTCTTGTATGATCACTGGCATCAAGGTGGAGATCTGTTGGGCTGTGATGCCATTTGATCCAGTCCAACTGTTAGGCAATGATGAAAAGGCCCAAAATATGGATTCAATACTTGGTCCATTAATTAGTTACCTAGAAGGCCCACTTAACCGAGCCCAATACCCAGCCCACACATCTTAGTCGCTCTTGGACCGTTGGATTGACCCGCTGATCAACGGTTGATGATATTACCTATAAATATCATCCTTAGCCCCTGTTTGGCACTTGGATCATCATTTCTGTTCTTTGTTTTTCTCTCTGCCTTCTGGAACCTTCGTGTTCTTCGTCTTTGTGACTCTTCCTTCTTCTCTTTGTGAGATTTCTGGTTGATTATCTTTGTGATAATTGTGTTCTTGTGTGATTCAACTTTGTGTGAGTGATCGTTTGAAGGTAGGCAGTCCTTGTTTTGGTTTCCAGTGAAGCGACCTTGATGTGTTGGGTTGTGAAGGCTTGTGTTTGAGTCTTGGTGCCTCTGTGATGGTGAAAGGGGCGTGGTATGAGCCTACAATTGAAAGATCTAAATCTTGATGTTGTGGTTTAGGGTTTATGATGTAATCTGCAGTTTCATGTTATCTTGAATGTTTTTCTGATCCTGTTTTTAATAGCAATGTATATAAAAGAGGCTAACATGCCCTCGTGGTACTATAGAAGTCTATTCAGATCTCAAGATCCAAACAAGCCATGGCCTACTATTCTTTGCTACATGGTGGACCTATAAGTCTGATAGTTTGTATTTATTAACTTTTATTTCATGTTAAAGTTCACTCGTGCAAATTTACAAATTTGAAGAGGGTTGAAGCAAGTGAGGCATTCTGAGATGTACTCAATGGAATACATGGACGTGCTCCACATAGTTTCCCAACTTATCATTAAAGATGTCAATTGATATTAGATACATGTTCTCAAGAATTCTTATGTTCTCCTTTTCATTTTCTTTTTGACGGAATATTCAATAGTTAGTTGCTGTGATTATCTAATTTTATGCTAAATCATCTTGCAATTTGCGAGAAAGATCTCAAGTTGAAAACTAACTAGATACATAGTGGAAGAAGTTCTAGAGGAAGCTGAGAGACTACAATCGTTGAAGTAACTGTTGAATAGAATCAAGTGTGTCTATACATACTCACTACTGGGCACTATGTCTACTTTGAGGAGTTGTGACAATGTTGTGTTTCAAAAGAGAAGCTTCTGATAAGTAAGTTATTTCTATGTAGGTTTCCTTCTTTGCTTGTGAAAATTTCACTTATGAGGTTGATATAACGAAGTATTTTCCATTAGAAGAGTATTCTGCTGAATGTTAAATAGTAGCGTTCAAATTTCGAAAAAGATGATTACACAATTCCCACCTTGTCTTAAAAGCTTAAAAGAAGGGCTTGCCATGAATATTTGGGCTTCAAGCACTTTTGTGGTTTAACTAATTGATCTTATTGTCTATTTCGGAATGCTGTTCACTTCAGAATACCATCATACAATTTATGCTGTTATTTTTTATGCTATTGCCTTATAGCAATAACTGAAAACTATCTCATCCTTCTAGAGACGTCTTATTTTTTGAGAGAAAGAACTTCTTTGTTTGAAATAAAATGTCTAATACACTTCCATAACACTGTCACAAGCCTTCGATGTGTTTTGACAAGATAATTGTTGTTTCTAGATATTGGCAATGCGTCATCCCAGGAGACTCATGTTTTCAGGTTGCATTGAGGCTTTAATAGTAAGATTTGTGTTTTTCAATTTTTAGTTATTCTGGTTATTATCCAATTTCTAATATCTTGAAACATTCAAATAACTGAAATATGTTCTTATTTATATAGATCATGACTATCTTATCTGCTCTTGTTGGCTGGCAGCTCCAAATCTGGTAAGAGTGATTTACAAGTTTGTATTTTCCTAGGGACTTGATGCTGTAAAGATATTAGATACATTTGCTCACTTTAGTACAGATGTCATACGACCTGATATTTGACAAACTTTAACTGTTTAAATATTTTTTTCATGTAAGGTGCTATAATAGTGCTCTTGATAATAGTGTTAAAAAGGATTTCCCTATGTCTCCTCTTTTGTCACTTTAAGCCATGTATTTGCTTTTCAGCTGCCTACTGAATCCATTTATTAAATTGTTAATTTTTGTTTTTCCAATTCGTCCTATGCTTCCATTACGTCAGTAGTTCTCAAGTCATTATACATGCTGGTGCTATTTGAAAGTTTAGCCAAGCTTTTTTGTACTGCGCACATTGTCAAATGTGGTTGCTTTTTAGGCTTGGACAAAGAACAACTAGATAGTAGGCAAAATATTTATTTATATCTATATTTCTTTAGGGCACAAAATCTTTATTCTTCTTTGAATGATAGCTATTGTCAGTTGTCATATTTTTATGATTTGCTCACTGGTGCACTGCAATTATAAATTATGTAGTCCTGTAAGTGGACTCATCTTGATACTCCTCAAATATCTGTTCTTTTTTAAATGTATTCTTGATGGAGAGAACTAATGCAAGGAAGAAGAAGCCTCTTATAAATTTGGAGACTCGGATGCAAATCACTCTGGGTTCTGCAAATGGATTGACATATGTGCATGACCCAAGTGAGTTTTTCCAAATTTGAAACCAATGTATGAGTTTATGTATTAGATTTCTTCGAAAATAAAGAAGTTACCTCTTAAATTTATTCTTTTTGCCATTTACATATCCTTCTAATAATACTATACTATAAAACATTGCACTCGATCGAAGGAATTTATTTGTTAGTACAAGAATTATGTAATATTTCCTAACGAGAAGCACTCTTTCTTAAGCACATACCTTATTCCCAATCTATTGAGTTCGACTCATAAATCTTTTTCCCTCACTACGTTTTTCTATCTTTCATCAAAAGTACCAATAAATCAAACTATGTGCAACCACATTAACTCTTATAAATTCCTTTTCCTCTTCCGTTTCCTCCTCCTTTTTGTATTATATCACTATTATGTAAACTTTTGGGGCTGTATAAGAAAAAAAAAATTGTTAGGTTTTGTTTCTTTGCTTCATTCTAAGAAGTAGAATATGAGAAACAACTCAAATGAACACAAAACTTTTCTAATTGTAGACAAGATAAAATGTTTAGGATTTTGATACCTTCATTCTTTCGCCAGAGATAATTCAGAATCGCAAAAGTAAATAGGATATATGACGGACATCTTTGGATTGTTCAATCGTGAGTCTATTCTTATTGGGAGGCGTATCGTTGGCCAGAACTTAAAGAGGCTACTGATAGGCCCCGTTAAATATACTTATTCTAGAAGGGTCAAAAAGATTGGAGAAGGGCAGGGGCTGCAACAAATAACTGTGAAAATGTAGTTTGGTGATTTACTTCAAAACTAAATTCAGTTTATGTTTCATTTATTAAAAGGAATAAGAGTGGTGAATTTGAGCTTTTCACTTGTTAATATTTACTTTAGTTCTTCCATCTTGCAAATTGAAGTGTTGTATATTGGATGAATGGTGAATTTGATACTTGAATAAATCTATTTTACAGGCACGTTAACGTTACCTTAAAATTAATGCACGGGCAAAGACTAGTAATAATAATAAAGTTCGTGGTTATATGTTAATTCTTTGTCTATTCTTCAAAAAAAGATTACGTCGATATTAAGTTGTCTATTGTCTAATTGTTCTTGGAGTATTCATGCGACTTTCAATTATCTGTTCTTGGTGGCAGGCCTTTAATATAAATTTATCTTCAACAATTAATTGGTTGTGGTTGCTGTTCAATTTTGACTTCATAATTGTGAGTTGTGATGATGGATTTTTTAAAGTGCTTGATTGTGTCATTTCATGCATACTACAATTTTGGGGGGCCTATTTTCTGAACTTCGCCTCAGGGCCCCCAAATCACAGGACCGGCATTGTAATTAGTGTAATAAATACGTTCTAGAATTACAAAACCACTCAAAACCCAAATAAGTAGTTCCTATCCAGAAAACTTTCATAGAGAAACACTCCACACCTACTACTTCACTTCTCACCACACTGTCAATCAATTCCTCTAGTTTTTCCTCTTGCACGGTGTTTTTTCTTTTCAAGTTTCTAAGCAGATTCCTTTGAATTAGTAACTCCATCTGGTGGTTGATCAATGTCATCAGAGTATTTCAAATTGGAATCTGCTCAAAAAGGCCATGTACACAACGTCATTTAGGAACTGTTCAGGACATTCCATGGACTTTTGGTTTGGTCGTTCATGAGTTTGCTACTGTAAATAATCGAAACATGGGATTTTGAAAGGCTTGTACGTAGTAGTTGCTTTTTTCTTTTGCAGAACTCTGAAGTTTTTTATTTATTTGATAAGTTTTGTAATGAATTTCTGTGAGATATATGAACTTCAACGGGGCAATCCCGCACACGTAAAAGAGTTAAATGAGTATTTGGCCAGCAATATTTCTCATGGTTTTTAGCTACATTTCATGATTTTCGAACATTTATAGTATCTTCTGCAACTCATTGTTAATTTTCATGGTACAATTAAGAGTTTTAGGAGAACCCATATTAACTGCTAGCTTTTATGCAGTTGATTGCTAATTTTTTAGAGTGCTCTTATGTATGTGGTGTCTATCCATGCAGTTTATTTTGCGCACTAAGGGAATCATTCTATATTATAACTGTGACTTTGGGGTGAGTTAAATGCTCTCTATGTTAATATTGATTTGAACATTGTAAGCTTCTGTAATAAACTTTATGTGAATGGTAGATTGCAAAGTGAAAAAAGGGGAATATGTTTTACCATTTTTTTAAAAATTTCTGTTACTTCTTTCGGTGTTTGTCAATTATTATTATTTTTATTTTTACTTTTATCACCTTTTCGAGTTTGTCACTTTACTTGAATTTTCATCAATTTTTTTTTAAATGTTTGTCACTTTTTTTTTTATTCTTTCCAATGGCATTTTTTACTATTTGTTACTTTTTTGAGTTTCTGTCATTTTTTAAGTGACAAACAATAAAGAAAGTGATACTCAACTTTAGAAAGTGACTATTAGTATTTAGTAGGTAGACTGTGTAACTTTTTAATAAATCTTTTTTTTTTTGAAATTTTGTCACTTTTTGAGTGTTTGTCACCTTTTTATTGTTCATCTCTTTTTTATTGTTCGTTACGCTTTTTTTGAATTTTCACCACTTTTTTGGATTACAAACATCAATTTTTAATAGAAGTATGTCACTTTTTAATAAAAATTTGACACTTAACTTTACAAAGTATTTTTTACTTAAAAAATACTTTTTATTTGATTTTTCAAAAGACATCTAATTTTAGAGGTATTTTTGTAAGTTGCCTATTAGTATATTGAGCAAATAAAGCTACTTGAACGTGGCCAATGACTTACTAAACCTCTTCTATTTTACATGTTATCAGTAAGAAACTGTGTCATTTAATGTCAATCCATTAGCAAGATTGATTATCATTTTTTCAGCAGTCGAAATTTTGGTGTATAATTTCAGTACAAGAACTGCCCAACCTATCGAAGTGGAGGAATTACCGCCCCAGCGCATATAGACATTATCGGTGTTGGAGGTTGTTCTTTGAAGGATATGTAGACATGGAAAAATGACCACTTCATCGTGTTCCAATCTACACTACCATAAAAGAGAGAATAAGGATTTACTGTTCATTTTTGTCACACTCGTTTTCACACTTAACCGGTTTGGGAACTGGTTTGACAACAGAAAAAATTCTATTCAACAATACTGTAGGACTCTTTCTCCTAATTCTCACTCTATTAACTATCAATCATATCTTATATATTTAAATTTTTAAAATTATATTAATAAACAAAATTATTGTAAATAAAATGTAAAAGAAAACGTATTCACTCCGTGCATGGAGAAAAAAATTTACGTCCTATCACATAATTTTTCTTGAGCAAAATGATGTATTGATAAAATTGTTGCGAAAAAATAATAAATAGTAATAAAATAATTGATTTTTTTAAAGAAAAATGACTTATACACATTTTATAACACATACGTTTAACGTTCGTTTGACTATTTTCGATATTCATTTAGATCATTCGATGTGTCTATGATATAGTTCTTGAAATGAGTTTCGAGAGAATGTAAAAGATTTATCGATTCGACTATCGTACAATTGTCAATGAATTTTTAAAGTTAGCTTATTATCGAAAATTTCGAAATATAGTTTGAAAATGCCTATTTTGACGACCCGTAACATTTGCTACGATTAGCCTTTTCACGCACCGTTAACGACGTGCAATACTATGTCACGAGTACTTCAAAATGATATTAAGAATGTAATATTTCAATTAAAAAATCTATTCTCCTTTCAGTATTTTTCTATGTATCATCTTTATTATATAAAAAGAATAATATCATTGAGTCTGCCCAAGTTATTAAGGCTTTCTTAGTGTCTATTTTGCAATCTAAGTCTAATTTTGTTCCTCAATAGTTAACGGGTTTATCATAATTATTATTTAATTCAAATCTATTACTATATTTATTTTCTTTAGACGGTTGTTTTTCTCTTATTTTATCATAAAATTGTCTATATGGTTTATTATACATTGGAGCATAACTTTCATCTGGATCTATTGATTCTTGTTTAGAGATTCCTATGGAATTATGTTCTCCTCCAGTATTCATTAAGATTTAATATTCATCATCAATACTTTCTAAGTTTAAATGATCAAAATTATCTATAAGTAGATCTAATTTTTCATTCATTTTCTTTGTCTTGATTTTCTTCAATTTTTTGTTTACCTAACATTTTTTCTTTAGATTCCTCTTCTTCTAATATTTTAGGTAATATATTTTTTTAAACTCATCATCCATGCTTCCTGTTTCTATTATTATATTTTTCTTTCAATGTGTTTTTTCTCTATTCTGGTTATTTCTTTTTCTATAAATTTTTTTATCTATTCTATTATTCTTTTCTTTATTTTCTTTTAATTTTCTGACTTCAAGTTTCAATATATTTATATCATTTCTTGCTTCTTTTATTTCATTCTTTATTTCTTGTACATCATTTATTAATGTTCTTGTTAAATGTTTTAATTCTTCCATATGTTCACCTATTGACATTTTCTTTTATCGATTTTTTGATTGTCAATAATAAAATGTTATATACTCAGCATATTTACACTCTTTTATCATTTTATCATATTTTTGTTTTATAACTTCAATATTTGTTAGTTCTTTTAATTGTTCATAATACCTTGCCTTTTATTTATACCTTTCTTGTTTTAATTTTAATATTTATTTTTCTTGAGTTTTAGTTATATCTCCAGGTATTAATAATTCATCTAAAATTTATTATTTATTAATCTTATTCTTCTTAACTTTCTTTCTAAAATATTTTTAGTTTCTTCTATTATATTTTTGTGATGATTCAAATATTTCTCTATGGTATAATTCATTTTCAAATACTTCGATAATTATTTCATATGTACTTCTATCTTTGATAAATCCTAAAATTAATTTATGTAATATTTGTTCCTTTATTTCTCGAGGTATTATTTCTCTAGGTAAATTCCTAATTATATATAATGTTATTATTTTTAATTTATTAGGGATGG